TTAGAATATTTAAATTATTTTTTGTTTATTGTCTATTTATTCCATGAATGGCATGAACCTATATTCATAATGTTTTATGGTAAATCGGTATTAACTTAAATCAAAAGTTAGTAGTTATTAACAATAATAATAATAATAATATAACTATTATAATAGTTCATATTAAAAAAAGTTCGATATTTTTGGCAAAAATAAATTCAACGAATCATGTTACTCTGATAGCAAGCTAAATTACTATTAAGTATAATATAAAATAATATAAATATAATAAAATACACTATTATTGTAATAACCGTCTTCTTTTAGAAATGTTTTTGTATGCAATGATTTATTATTGAGTTCAAATTGAAAGAAAGCCATTCCAGTAACCCATTCATAACACTCGATTTTTACTGAATAGGGTACTGTGTCTAATTGCTCACTTTATTTTCAGACTCAATCTTATCGATTATAGTTGGGTATAGTTGGACAGTGTTTTTTAAGTTTTTTGAACATTGTTTTCATCGGTGGACGAATTTTAAAATACACAGTTTAACTTGCACTGGCATCTATTAGTATTATTTTTTTATTTTCTTCTTATATTAACGAGTATACATTGTTCGTATAAGATAGCCGATCTTATATTTTGTATTCCCGAATTCATTATACGATATCAAAAAAGAGTTCTAATTCAATAAAAGTCCTGTGACATAATATCTAAACATTTAGCACTTTTTCGCAATAATGATTCGTTAAATATATTTTCAAAAACATAATTCAAATATTATTTTAATTGAATCACTTGACAAAAAATAATATATGATTATTACTAATACCTAATAAGTAATAAGTAAGTAAGAATTATTAATGCACAATTTAAATAAAAGTAAATACTGAACGTGTTTGTCTATAGCTTCTAAACTGTTTAATGATCGATAATATTTTAATTGTTTATTAATTCATTTTTCATTTTCGTTGATTTATAATAATTGGTATTGCAACATCATTTATTTATTCAAAGCATAATAGAAATCATAGTATTTAATTTAATACGGTGTTATATTATTTTAACGTACAAATTTATATGCAACGTGAATTTAATTAGAAGCCGGCTATGGGTTCGAAAAAAAGCTATTTACCTATCGTTTTAATGGTAGAATCTAATATACAAATAGCAGTCGATTTTAATATCGATTATCATATTTATTCTTATAGCACCACAAAGTGTATACATATTTTAGATTCTGAACGCAAAGATGAATGTATTGATTTTACAATGATGTGAGTTATTTTTTGTGAATGAAGTGAATAAGTCATTAATATAATGCTTTGATTTTTAAAAATAAGAGTAACTTTGGATATAAAATTGGATCTCGTTTAAACTTGAAAGAAATCAAACTTCAAAATTCCCAATACTTATTTTTATAATTGGGAAAAATAAACAAAACATTAAGGAAAAATAGGAATTTTCAACTAAATCGATTTTGTTGTTTTGATTGAACTCGAAAACAAATAATTATAAAAAATTGAAAACTTATCAAAATGTTTATATTATTGTTTTATATTTGCGATAAAACTTTGATATTATTTCGACATTTTTTGAGCTATTTAAAGGCATTTTTTTATAAATGTCGAATGAAAATTATTTTACCGGTAAAATGCTTGAAAATATAATACGAATCCTTCTTTAAGTTATTAATTCTTAGTTAAAAATATTAAAAACCTATAGCAATAATATTTTTTTAAATGTTTTTCAAGTTTTAGAATTTTGACAAAATTCACAAAAATTTTTGTTTTTACCTAAGGTGTAATTAAGTTTAATACAAGTTGCATTATTATTTTTTTAACTTATCTATGAAAAAAAAAAAATTACCGAAAAGCTAAATTAATTTTTAATGTGCATTTTAAGTTCAAATGTTGACAACACCAATATTTACCCGTAAAATATATTATTTCTCCTCAATCAACTTTTAATATTTTATTGTATTTAAAAAAAAAAAAAAAAACAAAATAACGACAGATATTTGACATTTTCAATAAGTTATAATCATTTTCAAAATTGTAAACTATTTATTAGTTATTTTTAGAGAAGAGAAATTAAAATTTTTTTTTTTCTGTAAATGTCTATAAAAAGTTATTCATTGGGATAAAATTTTTGAAAATTAAATACAAGATTCTTCATAAGTAGTTTATACTGAAACCATTAAATTAAAAAAAATATACTTAAAAAGACAAATATTTTTTAAGTTTCATTGGACGAAATTATTTACTTAAACGATAAATAACGATATATTAATTATTTTGTTATAATTTAAAAACGTTATCCGTGAGAACTTAAATTATTATGAATTTTACTACAAGTAATAGCATTTTTTATTTATTTCAATATATTAGATATTATTTAATTATTACTATGAATTCATTTTTACATTTTTTTAGTATTAAAAAAAAAAAAAAAAAATGTTATTACATTTTGAGTTATATAAGTTGATACAATATGGTATAAATTAAAAATATTATATTAACTTAATATTATATTTAATATATTATTAAAACAGGTAATAAAATACTAATAAATTAGTTGTAATATAATAAATGAAATATTTACGGAAAAAATTAAATCAAGCTACTATAATACTAAAAGTAAAATAAATGACTTTATAGTTAGGTTTATCAAAAAAAATATATATATATATTTATATCGTAGACCATTTTTGCTCAGAATCGTTTTTCATATTCAATAATATATCATTGAATACCAATTTAACACAGTAATAGTGACCTACCATTTCATACATTTCGTTTAATTTTTATATTTTTTATTTTATTTGTGTTTGAAATTAAATTAATACCTTTATTTTTAACTGGATAACATTTTGTCGAAAAAATGTTGTAAATATATATTTAAGCCTTATGTCTATTTCGTTTCTTTTACATATAATATTCTATATGCTCTAGTTGTAAAGTGGATTTACATCAATCGTGTTGTTTACACGATACATCCTAAAGAAGTATATATTTTTCATCTTTTCATTCCTGATTATACTTTATGATGAGTTATGACGTAGATATACGTAGGTATACGTGTATAGGTAAATGTATACGATATATTATGTTGATTATTATTCTATTAACTACCTGTGACTAGTGTGCTCTAAGTTTTTAAGTTCAATGCTGTTTACCGCAGACGACTTGAAGCTTAAAAATATAACCTAATAGTGTCTTATTAAAGAATATTAAATTTTAAAATTTTTACTCAATATAAATGAAAACATTACAAATGACAAACATGGTGGAATAAATTGAGCGCGCTAGATTAAATATTATATATAATTACTAAAAACGCACGTCTCACATATTTGTATTAATATATTAATATTTTATTCCGTGGTATAATATACTTATTTAGGTACTCTTATCATAACTAAGTCGCACGCCCATCTATGCGTAAAATTATTATCACAATGGTGGCAGTGCGTTGGTCTCGTATTATTAATTATTATTATTAAATCTGCTGAGTATAATATACTAGTGTATTATTAAAATTACTATAACCTAGTAAGCACACTTCTAAAGTATTCGAGTAAAAATATTTAAAAGCTTTTATTGTATTTAAAATATTTTTTGATTGAAGTCATCAAAATATTTAACATATTATTTCATACCTTATGTATTTTCAATTCAAATACTTAGATTTGAATACTTTATGGTCTCTATTTGGATGATCAATATTACATTTTTTCTACTCAGAAATAATATCATTGGATTTTTTAATTTTATACTTGTTACACCTTATGCCTGGTTGTATAAAAAACAATTAAATTATTTAATGGTTCACTAAAATTTAATGGAACAATTGTGTACCACTAAATCAAACTTATGGGACTATTAATTTACTAATGATTCATTAAATCTTTAGTGATTGTTTATGCGACCCAGCACTAATAAGCTTTTAAAATAAACTCAACCACCATTGTTAATTACTTTACGCATGTATGTAGTATATATTATAAAATATTCTAATGAAGGAATATAAAATTAATTAGTGTAAACATAATTTTTCATTATTCTTCATAATTATTCACTCAGTCAGAAAGCTTGAAATTTAACCTAAGATTCCTCACAAGTTATTATTAAAGCTATTTAAAAATAATAATGATGCATAAACATGGTTTTTTTTTTATAATTATTTCAAGTTACAAAAATTTTAGTTAAGAATTTATTAAAATATGTTTAATTTTTGTACTCAAGAACTAAAAATGAAATACCTAAATTAAAAAATAAACCGTTGGTTAGGTTGATAGCCCGTTTTCACATAAATCTTTTTTCGTATTCAATGACCTATAATTGAACTAAAATTTGATACTTTCCTATTTTTTTTATATTACATTATTTACTATAAATTAAATAATAACAATAAAGAATACCAGTAATATTAAAATCATTCAAAATATTGTCAAACTTAAAATAAAGACATTATCGATGTATTTAAGATATTATAAATATCGATTTTATCGAAATAATCATTTGTACTAAAATATTAGTTTAACGATATTTTCAGTTTACCAATTCATACCGGTATAAAATTTCATAACGAAATATCAATGTAAAAATAAATATCACCACCCCTAAGTACATATAGGTATATATATATAGTATATTACAGCAGCCGTTATATTAAAGTTATAGTCAATTTTAACGAGTAAGCTTTGAGTATCAACATCAAAGAAAGAGTAATTTGTATGATAATAAAGTGAAAAAGGAAATTTGTATTACTTAACTTATAAGTACTTAAAAAGTATATTTTGTATTCTTGTCAATATAAGTATTTATGTTATTGACACAAGTATTAAAAGTACTTATTAAAAAACTTTTTGAGTTGATGTATTCGTATTTGTATTTAAATACAAATGAAAAGTATCTTTTTACGAAATTGGCACTAATAATCAGTAATTACCTACTTACGTATAGTATCATCGTGTAATTTAGTTATCATGATATTTATTATACATGTCTTACAGATCTAATGGAATCCACAACGGCTGATCCAGATCCATTAAGCCTAGATTTGAGCCACTTGAGTGCTGAGGAGCGTGCACTGATTCAGAACGTCATGGCCAAGGCGAAGAATATGGACGCTACCGAACCTGCACCGGTAGTGCCGTCGAATTTGACGATGAACAGGTAACAAAAATTATATAGTCGGCGTACGACGTTTTTTTAAATTTTAAAATGGCGTGGGTTATGGTTAGATAATATGTGAGCCTAAGTAATAAACAACAAACCTATAGTATAGCATTCACAAAAAAATTGACTTTAAGTCTTGAATTGTTCGATCCTTATTGTTTGGGTGCTACTATTCTTATTATAGTTGTCAGCTATATATTATAGTAAATTATTAGAAACACTATTCAAAGGAATCACTCATTTATTTTTATTTATATATTCGATGGCTAGCATTTTTTTAAAATAAGTAATACTTTACTTTTTTATAATATTATAGAATAGAATTTAAATTTCAGCAATTACGTTCATAAAAATATCTGTTAAAATTTGTTGAATACTAAATATTTCTGAGTTAAATATTGTGTAGATATTATTTGGTTTTTAAAAAAAATATTCATCTAGATAATTTTATATGAATGCATATCATAGTTATAAAGTTATATACATATATAACACGTATCTTATTATATTTTGTATAAAACAGTTTTGTATTTTTTTTGTTTTCCTGTCGTATTTAATTTCTTTGGCAATCAAAAAAATAAAACGACAGTGATGAGTATTGAATTATGAAAGCTATTTTAGATTAAATCTCTGCAAGGGGGGGGGGTGAAAATTGTAGGAGGATTGGTCAGTGGAGTGAACGGGGATAAAATCCCATTTATATAAATAGCACTATATAATGTAATTGTTCAGGTTATTGATTATATTATGTAGGTATAAGTAATAATATTAACTTTAAAAATCTTACATAATTTAATTGAATTAAATACTGGTACACAAATCGTTTAAAGTGTTTTATCCTTAAAGAAGTCATAAGATATGAACTACATTTAAAATTATTGTAGTATAAAGTGTTAAAAAACTATGTTTTTTCCATTTTTATGTATGCAATATAAAATATAAATATATCTATTGTATACTATCATTACTAATAATGATTATTACTATTATTAATATTTTTAAAAATAAGAATCATACTAAAATATTGCTTATACTCAAGTAGATATACAGTGTCAATACGCGTGTGCAAACAAGACGTTTAGCCAAAGTTTATTTAGGTAAAATTTGAAATGGGTAGGGCTAGAGAAATGTTCATTAACATCTATCAAAACCTAAAATAATCAACCGGAATAACACCGATTATGTCGACACACACACATATATAAATATACCACATAAAAACTTGGAAGGTATAATACACAAACAATCCTAACGACTTCATGTCAATAATATATATAGGTAGGTAATACTCATTTTGACTGTAGAGAAATTTTTGAAAATAGGGGATTTTTGTTGGAGACATTATTGTTTTCAAAAAACAGTCAGATACCTTTAAAATAACGTTATCTTAGAATGATTTCTCACTTATTCGACGTACATACGTTTATTCGTAACTAGGTCGCATGCTTTTAATCGCTGATATCATGGTGCATACTTGTTCACTATCGGAATTCTGTACACCACAATAGTATATATTTTAATGTTTGCGATCGTGAAAATACGAGTACATTGCAGTCATGCGCAAAATAGACGTAGTAATTATTTTCTTTTGAGCAGAATTCGAGCAACGGCGGCTGCGTGATAGCAAACTAATTGCATTGTCGCAGCCGCCGCGTTTCGAAAACGAATTACAACTAAAACCCTTATAATCGTTGTTTTTCGACTGCTTCGAGTGGCTGCAAATTTTTGGCGAATAGGTAGTAATATTTGTTTGTACGTTTATTTATTTAAAAGTTTTATAGAAAACGAAATTAAGCTCAACAATAAGACCGCCTGCTGATGGTTTAATCAATAATAAACAGCACTTTAAGTTTTACAGTAGTGATAGACAAAACTGAAAAGAAAAGCCCACAAGACTATATTTGTCGCGTTTTATTCGATCACCTGCACACTACCACGAGAGAGTATGCCTGGATACATAGAAGTGGTATTTGCTTTACGATCGTCGAGCGCATGCAGAAATAATGAGAGCTTTGCACCTGAATCGTATTTCACTCTGAGTTTCTGTTGTTGGATGTAATTCAGTTGTTCAAATAACGAAATGAAAAAAAAAAATGAAAATCCAATGTTTGGCTACGCGTAACTGTATTATTGCATCAGGAAAAAAATGGGTGGCCTAAGTATAATTCGGGAAAAAAACGTAATTTGAAACCAATGCATATAGGCATACAATATAGGTGTTCCTTGGAATATTTTTTCATTTCATAAAATTATATTGATGTACGATACTGCTGTTGAATGAATGGAAAAAAACAAAGTTTAACGCATAATTGTTAAAATTCACCAAAAACAAAAAAATACAATACCAATTAATTGTAAAAAATTATTGTTAAATAAGAAATACCTACAAAATTACACATCATCACATAGAACTTGTAAAGTAAAAATATTCGGGTTTCGGGTTAACAGAGCACGATTGATTCGGGTTTAGGTCAATTATAAAATAATAATTAGTGTTAGAAATGGTTGGGGGAAGTGTGCAGCGGAACGAAGTTTCTCTAATATTCTAAATTCCGAAAAAAGTGATGAAAGTATGGATTTTTCATAGATATGTACATTTTTCTTTGTTTTTGTATTTTTTTTGATTTTGAACTATTCAAAACATTTTGCTTTTGAAAATCGGATATAATTTGTACTTTTGAGTTAAATTAATAATAACTTAAAATAAATTTCTCTTTATAATTTGCAATATCAAAAAACATTACATGAAATGTACTTAATGATATAGGTTGATAACCGTCTCCGCTCAGAATCGTTTTTTGTATACAATGATACATTATTGAATTCAAATTTAACACTTTCATCTCAGTAACCCACTTGGCAACCCACTGTACAGTAGTGTGGTACTCACTTGACAATATTTTTTATTTTTGTTTACGTAACTATTTTAGATTTTGAGTGGAGTGACTAATTTATTGATTTTACAATAATGTATGTGGTCTTTATTTGTGCATATTTGATCGCTTTTATATAAGTAAAAGTTAAGTGAATCTCGTCATCTTGTAAGCAGTGTAATGGATGTGTTAAATTTCAATTCAATGATGTATTGATATATACGATGAAAAAACGACACTGAGCGAAGACGGTCATGAACACAAAAATAAATAAATAAAAATAAAAATACACTTCATTCACTTCATTGTAAAATCAATACATTCTTCGCCACGCTCAGAACATATAATTTGTATAGACTAGCCGAATTGACATGCGTTGCTATGGTTTTTTTTTTTTTTTTTGAAATAAAATAAAATAGTATTTAATTTATTATTTATTATTAAAATAAACAACAGAAACCAATATCTTTGTAATTTCAGTACAAAGGTTCAAAAACTACTTGACCGGTTTTGATGAAAGTTTTCGAAATTGTTTTTGAAAATATCAGAAAAGTTTAGATTATAGTCTAAATAACGTAAGAAAACACACCAATAAGGGCTAGATCGGCCATCTGTCCATTTCAGTCCAATTACTTTATAAAGCATCACATTACCTATAGTGATACGTATTTGCTCGTGAAATGTGTAACACTAAAACTAAACTACAGTAAAATAACAACGTATAATAAAATTGCTTTATTTTTTCCCGGGTGAATTGGTATTTCTACAATAAATATGTAATAAAATATACTTAGTAATATAGGCTAACAAAGCGTTTTTGTTCAGAATCGTTTTGATTCATTATTGAATCAAAACTTAACATATTCTATAAAGTTACCTATTTATTGACGGGGTATCCTGAACACCTACTGTATAGGCACTATGTTATAGCGGTTACCTAATTTCTTTTCCTTTTTTTTTTTGTAATGGGGGATGGTATAAGCTAATTTTTAAATTAATTTTTCATCAAATGTTTATTATTTTTGTCAACGCTAACTAAATTATTACTGTCAGTATATTAGTTGGAAAAAATTGATGAATTCCACAATTTTTTAATTTTAGTTTAAGACAGTTGCTTATTTAGTAACATGGCTGTACTTATAGCTTTTATACTATTCCTATAAAATATATTCTGTCAGTTGCAATAGGCCACTTTATCCGTCCAATGGTCTTCAACTCCTATTAAACGTAATAATAATTCTATCATATATTTTATATTTCTTACGTTAACAGTTTTAATTATCTTTAACGGTTATATTAAATTTTTTATTTAAATTTTCATACTTTGACATGCAGGCTTGTGTTTTTAAACCACATAAGTATGCAGTAGCTATTTAAGTGATTAAAAAAAATGAAGTGTGATGGCTGAGAAGTGTATGGACTCTCCGTGGATTTGAGTTAAATAATTTTTCACTTGGAACGTATTTTTTAAACAGTTTGATTGAGCTCGTGCCTTCCTATTTTTTTTTTTTTGGTTCAAGCACAAATTATTGATAATTAGCCGAAATTATTTTCCGTTTGGATTTTAAACGTGATTTCATATGTTATGTAGAACGCCTTCGATAACGTCATCGTCTCGAAGCGAAATCGCCAGTAACGCGAGTTATGCGTCGTCTGGTAGTCAAGACTCCGGAGCCGCGTATTATAACGCTACCGACAGCAAAAGTGGTGTGCAACAACAGAATCCGTCGTACCAAGACCGCAACATCTATCAGCAACAGCACAGAGATGCCAGCAACGGGTCGTCGTACTTACAGCAGCAGCAAAACACCATCACTTCGGCGTACCAGCAACCCGCTAGTGGCTCGTATCAGCAGCACAGCGGTTACAATTCGGCGGCTGCGGCGGCAGCTAGACGGCACATCCAGCAACGCGGTTTCGATGACTACCATCAGTTGTCACCCGAGGAACAGCTGTCGCCTGTGTCACCGGAAAACGAAGTGTCTATGCCATATGAAGGCAGCGTCGGCGGAAACTCACAGCAATACCTCCACCAGCAACAGCTGTTACAGCAACAGCAACAGTTACTGCAACAGCAGCAGCAGCAGCAGCAACAGCAGCAGCAACAGCCGGGAGAGCGTTCTGGGTCGGATTCCAGTGATGACGTGAGCTTGGCCGAGTGTCTGGCTGGCGGAGGCGTTGAACTGATGAACTTGCGCCCGATGCCCATGTTGGACGAGAACGGTCAAGTGTTATTAGACGATGTCGATACCTCCAGGATGCAGCAACATCAACAGCAACAGCAGCAACAGCAACAACAGCAGCAGCAGCAGCAGCAACAACGGCGCGAGGAGCAGTATTGCAGCGAACAACAAGTGTACTATGGAGGCAACGCGACTACCGCCAACGCCTCGGATGTGTATACCATACCCGAGGACGAGGACGAGCTGAGTAGTCCGACGGGTGCAGACGGCGTGACGAGTCTCCGAAAGCGGCAGATGGCTAATACGTTGACCGGTCAGTTAATTATATTTAAATGATCGATATTGTACATCTATGTTATTATTACACAGAGTCTTCTAAATTTCGTGTGATAAAATTGGTTGCCCAGGTCCGGCTTAAGTGTTTAAACACACCTAGGCAAACTTGCCATTCCTTAAATGTAAATTTTTTAAAAATTACCTATCCTACAAAAATTTTAAATGCCACCTTTGTAAAATCCATTAAGCCGGTCCTGTTAGTTATGATCACTTTAGTACTAATATAATCCCCATTGTGTTATTATTGTACGGAATTTGGAAAACTCTGTATAGTGAGTAAAAATATTAAAATATTAAATATTAAATGGTATAATATTATAGCAGTCTGCTGTAATAAACCACTAAAACCTTTATTCCTTCATAATAGTGAAAAAGGACACTCTTTCTTCCACCACTTATCCTAAGAGTGTCCCTAGATCCTTTTGTTTGAAAAGGGATGTAATCTAAGGGTTTTTGCTGTTGTTTTTAATTGCTTATTATAATTTTTTTTTTTTATATTCTTATGTATTTGTTCCAAGAAGACTTCATACTAATACACAAAGTACGGAATGAAAATGTATGCAAAATAATAAACGATTGATTTATCTGCTGTATATAAGCAAAGCTTGTATTGAAGACAACGATTTATTTACTTATACTAAAAATTATACTTTAAAAATACGAATAAAAACTAATTAAAATTATTTATTTTTTATATTTCTATAATAATAAAACAAGTTTGTTTTATATTAAAAAATTTCTGATAAATAATTATCGTTTAAAATATAATTTTATCAATTTCATATTATTATTTATTCATTGATATTTCTTAAAATTATTGTTAAGAAAATTTATTTAAATATTTATTTAGCTGTTGTGGCACGTATTTAGATAGCATCAACACAACAATGGCAAGATATTTGATGTACTAAAATTATGAATGTATTATTAATGTCTGATATTTAAAATGCTTTAAATTTAAGGTCTTAAATTAAATATTTATTTTATAAATAACGGCACATAACTGGCGAAACGACGTCGCTGGTACTGGAGCTATAAATAGCTTAAGTTTTTGGAAGTGCAAAAGAAAAAAAGAGAAAAGTTATAGCTATATGATGTTATAGTTTTGAAAACAAATTATTGAATTAAAAACTTAATTAAAATGGAAAATTTGGAATTACATTATGTTTAAGGTATCGAATTCTTATGATAATTTAGCACGAAAGTAATGTACCGTTAAAATTCTTGATAATATTTAACCCCAAATTCAAACAATATTTAATTTATAAATAACGTTAAGTGTAAAAGTATGGAATTGTTTTAATGCTTAGTAATTTTCAAATAATTTTTTTCTATTCCACAGTGAAAATATTGTTAATCGTTTTGTGTTCTTTTTTTAGCTATCTCAGGATTGAACAGTAGTAGTTCGGCGGCGATTAACTTACATCATCAAATTGTTGATAACGAGAGGTTTATGATGAAATACGCTGCAGCAAATCCGGGTAGTTCGGACTCGTATCAAAGATCGAAGTTGTTAAACGATGAATCTTCGGCAACGTCTGTTTTTTCCGAGCAAACTCGATCGAAAAAACTCAATCAGTCGTCTACAATACAATCTGGTATGACTACTACAGTAATACATGTATATTTATAAAATACATGTATCATTATTTTATAAAATTGTAATAATATTAATGAAAATATATAAATAAATATTAAATGAACGTACCCACGATAGATAGTTCTAAATAATTAATAATTTAAAAAGTCTATACTCTATCATTTAAGTGTACCAACACTGATTTCAAAATATCTATTGAATATAAAGTTTATTTTTTAAATTATTTTGGTTGATTCATCGAGTGTTTTTAAATGTTCTAATTCGATTTTTATTTGTGAATAGTACAATTTCGGATGTGTAACGAGTAATAGTACATCTCAAAATCTCATTTCAGAAACATCAAAAAGTACAAAAACAAGGTTAAATTCCGGTAGCATGTCAATGGTTTTATTTAAAAATACATATCGGTAAAACACATTTCAGCTATCTTAATTTTTCATCCTCGATGTCATATAATATTTAATACATTTTATAAAACAAATGTATAATTTTAAATACGAAATTTTGCTTTACTCTAATTCCGACGTTATTAAATAATAATGTTAATTACAAGTATTTATAATTTAATTTAAGATAAAAAATTGGGATAGTCAATTTGATTTATAGAATATATAATTATCATTATTAAATAGCGGTTCAAGGTAATAACATTAAGGCAGTAAGAAACTATTTAGAATCATAGACAGATCATATTTTGTCGGTAGTTTTAATTTAGATGTATAATAAATCCTAAAAATTGTATAGATTTTTATACATTTTTATCTATGTCTATCTGATGTAAAATAAAAATAATTTGATTACTAGACACCGAAATCATTAACGGAGTGAATTTCGATTAACAGGGCTTTATTAATGGCGTAGCTGTCTCTTCCAGCGTGGCGTGAGAGAGATATAATATTTTGTAGGCATTTAGTTATGTTTGTAATTTTATGTATAAACCGTTACGTCAAACCCTATCAAAATATGATTTAAGCCACTTTGTGATTTTGCATAATCCACCTAATTATATACCTGATTTTGTTATATAATTTTAAACCGTCAGTAAATATTAAGCATTTTGCGTTTTCAAACAGCTTATCTAAAATCTCAATTCTCAATCTTATACAAATAACATAAATAACAGCGCACATAAATAAACACTTTGATGTACTCTAAAGATATTATTGATTATATTTAATGAGAAATAAATTAATTTTCAGTATTTGCTGTTTACTTGATATAAAATATATAAAAACCAATTTAATAGCTAAAACTTTATTTTTCATTCATAAATAATAATACATTACGCAATATATTTATAATCACGGTATTGAATGTTTTTATTATTTTATTTTATTTTATTTTTTTAATCAGCACAAATTACATTGATTTGACTACTTTAAAAGCTTTTGAACATGAATCATATTCATAGTTAGGTATCAATTAGGTAAAATATCTTGATATATCTAGAAAAAAAATAACTATTGAAATAAAATTCGTCATCATTAAAATCATTAAGCAGTCATTAAGCACCTGTTCCATCGATAAAGGTACACAATATACATGATATTCAAATTGATAGGACGCGTAAACTATAAATAATTTATTCTAACAATTTTCACATGGTTTATAGGAATCTGTTATGTGTTCCAGAGAGTTGTTTATCACCTAATTATTGTTTGTACGATTATTAAGTACATTTCATTGGATTCACGTAGAATTTACACGTGTAATTTATTTTACTAAAATATTTTAGGTGTCTTACAAAGCAACAAATTCCGGGCTGGCGGTGGAGAAACCGTCGTCCAACCAGTAGTTGTGTCCTATGCCCAAAACTCTCCGTCGTACTACAACGGCAGTAACAGCAGTAGCAGTAGCAGCAGTAATAGTAGCAGGTATGTAATGCATGCATGTATAATAGTGTCAATATTATACTACTCATACGATTAGCATTGTAGAATTTCTACAATGTGCGCAATCAGACACCCCGTCGACGATGAGGGTTGTGTGCAGAAGTGTTACGACCACACGAATGAACAATACTTATAGTCATTGTAATTATTCAAATGTTGTTTGCATTTTAGATTCGCGTCGATTGACGGTGACCACAATAACATATCATCCGCGTACGATACTACGGCGGAAAATTGCGTGTTTCAAGACGACTTGAGTACCTATTTAGCAAATAATTATGATAAAAATTTCTCAAATTTACACTCATATTTTTTTATTTTTTTTCTTGTTTAACCTACAGCAGAAGAGGCTTGGTGATGTGAACATCATTACTCCTCTTCTGTCATACGTTAATATTTAATCTTAATTAGTATATTTATTATTATTAGTATAATATATAAGCAATAATGAATTTGGGTCCGGATTTTAAGAAAGTATTAATAAGTAGGTTAGGTTATAAGTTAATGCATAATTTATTTTGTTTTTCATTATTTCAATTTTTATTTTTACTGACTTTAAAGTACTTATATGGTGTTTGCTTAATATTTATTTTTAGTACTTGATTAAAGATTTTTGTCACAAAAAAAAAAAAAAAAAAAACTATTCATTCCAAATATTACTCGGAATATAATTTGACATTAACACGAAATTGAAATGTAATCAAATAAAATAAAATTGAAAACAAAATAATAATTTCTTAATATAAAAATTTAATTTAGCGAATTCGCTTTAATTAAAAATAATTACATTAACTGAAATTCAAAAATAACTAGTTATGTTAAAGTTAAAATACAATTATCTTCTTAATTTGACATTAACCTTTTAACTATTAAACTCGTTAATGTCCAGCCTTGATGGTATATCATTTTAAATATTAAAACCACGTAGTATTTTTAAGTTTTTATTAACTCGAACCGTACGTAATAAACATACTAAAAATTTCGCATTAAATTAAATGTTGTTACACAAAATATCTAAAAATCAAATGAAGTAATATTAAACTTATTTAGTTATAAAAGAAATAAAATAAAATACATAATGTATGTAAGAATTATTTTCAGTCAATATATATAAAAAAAAAAACATTTCCTTTATAGTAATTATATGAATTATATTGTATATTATCTCTATTTATAGTAATATTACAATAAATTACAATAATTAGTAGTTATAAACGGTTTAGTGGATTATTACTCTCTGTAATAACTAATAAGTAATAACCAAATAGATCATGCAATAAATTTAACGATGATGTTGGGTATATTTATTATTTTAAAATTCATGCTACGTATTTGTTTGACTATATTATGCGATATAAAAATAATACGATCTATTAAAAATTTAAAATAAATAAATTTAAAATTTTATTGGAATGTTAAAATACCTACACTGATTTAAGTATTTATATATGCTCGTATATATAATAAAATATGTTATATACTTATTAGTGTACTTCGTTATAAATAAATATATTATTTGCTTCAATTAATAATCGGCTCGTATGTTTGTTACAATCAAAATTGCTTACCGTTAATTAACTTGTTTTAAAAAATAGGGAAAATCCAATTGTTTTTTTTATTCTTGAAATTTAGAAGCTAAATTAAATTTCAAAATATTATTACTTATTTTTATATACGTGAGGTTTTATCAGACGTATACGGTAATAATATATTGATTTTAATATACTTGATCACTATAACACCTTCATTTACTTGTATGTATGAAGTTACCATTAAAATTTAATGTGTAGTTAGTAATTGGAGTGTTTTGACAAAAATAAATAAACTATTTTAGTCTGGTTTGAATATTAAGTTCATTGTTTGATTTTCGATTAAATAAATCTTAAATATTCATAAACTATATTTTATGTACTTACCTTGTTTATTTAATATTTACCAAGCAAAATGGAGATGAATAATGAAAGTCAGAAGGGTTAAAGGCTGTCTTAAAAGATTATATTATGGGGTATCAATATTATATACCACCCTTATAGAATGAAAGTTCCTAAACTAACTCACAACGATTACAAAAATGTTTAGACGATAAAGTGCATATAGGTTTTTTATTTGTTTTAAATTCATCTCTAATAAATATTATGATTGTGTATAAAATAAACAATTGAATTTTTAGTGACGTAAACATAACAATATTCTATCATCATTTGAAATTTTCAATATTCTCAGATAGTACTTAATATCGTAGAAATATTTTAAAACTCAAGGTCTAAACCACCATAAAAAATACTCGATATATTAGGACAAGTATAAATTATTTTAAATTCGTTTTTCTCTTAATATTTAAAGTGTGTAAACATTAAAATAACATCTTCTTTCCTATATGATTATGTATATGCATATGTTAGTATATATTACATTAAAATTTTATCCTATAGTAAAATAAAAACATTTTGAAAATATTAAGATACGTATTTATACGTATTGTAGAAATCAGATAACTCAATTTTGTCTTGTAAAAGTCACGTGTAATGTTTGTACAAACTACTTTCGTCTGATTAACGTAATAATATGGCTTGAAGAGAAATAAATAATAATAGATAAAATGATTTCGGCAAAATTGAGAAAAATTTTTTTCGACTTTATCATAACGTTTTTACTACCTTAAAACATTGTTATCACCTACGTAAAAAAAGGGTAATACGCACGAGATTTTTTTTTTTTTGGGCAATACTTTATTGATAATACCTAACTACTTATATACGATATCATCAGCCAAAAGCTGTGCAGTATACGTTTATTCATAAAATGTTGTACCTACGACGATTTCACTCTTGAATATAGTTGAAAAAAAACGCCCGAATACGATCGAATATGCAAATTGTTGAATCAGCCGATTCATGCGGTCGTAGCGAGTGGTCATCGAGATCCGAAGACCGGCAAGGCTGAGCAACAGAGGCTACACCAGCAGACCAACCGGCACCAAAACCAACAGCACCAACAGCACCTGCAGCGACAATTTAAGCAAATGCAGCACAAAAACCAGCAAATCCAAAACCAACAGCAACATCATCAACAACAGTACAACAGCATGTCGGGCCGCGCGCTGTCGTCTTCTCAGCAAAATCGGCAGGCGGCGGCAAATAGCAGCAACCATGCGTTCGGAAACATTCAAACCGCTAACCGTAGTCGGACGAATTTTCGCGTAAGGGTCTTTCATAACGATCGTTGTCGTCGTCGCTATTATTATTAGTGTTGTTAGTCGAGCAGACGACGACGATGGTCCTGGTAGTGGCGCCGATGAAAGTACATTTTTAAGTAGTGTCGGGCTTTATTGTGAGGATTTCTTCCGACCGCACAAATATATTTCACGTTATAGTGACTTGATAGGGCATACAATGCAACCCCTATGAATCCCACACCCTTAAATGTACTCTCTTTTAAAGTAAAAAAAAAAAAAGAGAAAACTCATTTACGAAAATACACTTTGAGTAAAATTGTATAAAGTATCTACGCACTATTGTAAATTATAGATACTCTATTTTTATTTACAAATTATGAGTATAGATTTCAAATGAAATGTGTGGGCAATGCCTTCGATTACAGATAAACGACGCCAATGCAATCGTTTATCGTTTATTATTTTAATTCGAACTTGGCTCTTTATTAGTGGCGTGTGGAAATAGGAGACGAGTAGATTCAGTAGATATTGATTTACCACTTAGTAAACCGTTAATTGTATATTTAATATATGTTTACAGTTTATATTTACTATAATTGAAGGGATTTCTACAATTAACAAGCAACTCTGTTTTTATGACAAAATCAATTTTTTTCATGCAAAATATTAAGAAAAGATCCTTTTAAAAGTGATTTCAATAAACAGACAACTGCTTAAATTTGAATCCTTGGACATTATTAAACGTTTATATATTTAAATGACACTTGTTTTAGTTAAATTCAAATCTTATTTTTAAAATTTAAGTTTTATGTTTGAAGAAAATTTATTGAAAATGTTGCAGCAATCAGACAACTCCAAGTAGTTATCAACTTTAAAAATTTTCAAATAATTTCAGTTGTTGGAAACGTAATCAAGATTTTGCCTTTATTTATAGTTCATAAAAAATAATTGTTGAAGTAGGTTGTTTATATGTACTTATTATATATTGGTAGTATGGCTAAGTGATTTCTTAATTTATTTTACATATTCTCAAGTGAAAATATATTTGTTAAGTTAGCTGTACATTTATATTTCTTACTACACATTTATTAATGATATACTGAACCTTACAATAAAGCCTTTAGTAGTATAATATGTATATTATATAATATAGTGTGTGTGGTCCGTACCACTACCGAGTAGTAAATTCCACCGTGTCGTGTAGTAATATATATATCACCTGGAAGCAGATCTTAAAATTTAAAACGCTACCCTTTACTATACCCATCTTCTACCCTTCACAAAAACAAAAATAAATATTTTTCATCGTTTCTATACCCCTTAAAGTGGTATTTTTCACTTTATTCGCTCTCTACTTGTTTTAAAAAGAACTTATTTGGGCGGCGAACGAAATTGTGTTTATTTTACAGTCAATTGGGCTAGGTTACTCTTGCAGTAGCTCAATAATAATAATAATTCTATAGACTAGAGTATACTAAAATAATAATTTAGGTCAAGTGTCTTCAAGTTTTTTAAGCAGTGAGTCGTATTAGTAATAAAAAAAAATGTTATGTACAAATTTAGTTTTTACAATCATTATAAACGTAATTATTTTATATTGTTGATTTTTAAATTACAAATTATTTATGTATTATTATTGCAATATTAAGTTCCGAATTTTAAATTACTTATTATTCATTTATTATAATGAGATAGGTATTTGATACTATTTTTTTTTATCTGATTTTTCTATTATTATTATTTTTTCTATTTATATTCAGTTGTATTTAACAAAATGCAACAATTCTTAGTAAGTGGTTTTCGATTGAGTGATAACGGTAACATCTTATATTATGGTCGTTCGTGTTTGATCAAAATAGAAAAAATACACATTATAATTTTTAACACCGAAAGTGCGCGAATATGTATTATATAATTATACATATTCATCAGTCATTAACATAAAATAGGTAATCACAAAAATTTTATTTAGATTTGCTTTCAAAAAATTGTCATTTTATAATAGAATTTGCTATACGTGGAATTTACCCTTTACTTTTATTTCTTCACAAAAGTTCTGGATGGAGTAATGTATAGTAGCAGTGATATTATATTTATCTACGCTAACGACGGGGATGATGATGGACATTGTTGGACTATACACTATACTTAAGTCATTTTTATAAATATTATGTATAGCTGAATGCCGTTATTGGTGCATAAATTTTTTTACAACATAATGCGTATAAATATGTGTGATACCTATATAATATTTAGCACAGGTGCAAATAGGGTTCTACTTTTTTTTGGCGTGTAAGAGAAAGAAGATATACCTGGAAATTATCATTTATTGTCTACGATTGATCAGTGTTCACTAATTATTGAATGTTTTTGAAAATCTCTTCAAACAAAAAATGAAAATTTTTTTTAAACAAAGCAACAATATATGAAACCGATAGAAAAATATATTATGATTTCCGAAAAGAATTTTAGAAAAAAAAAACAAAATGAGAAAAACGTAGAATTATAAAAATAAAATAAAACAAGTAACAAATTGTATGTGTACATCTATGGGTATTATCTTATTATCATATAACTCATTGAAAAATAATTTTGGAATAATATTTGTTAAATGGTGTTGGTACTCTTAATTGATTTTCGAGTGGAGATAAAACTTACCATATCAATTTTCAATTTAAAACATATGTCCTCGTTGATTTAATTTCCCTATTTGCACCTATGATAAGGTATCTTTTATAGTAGTATTGCTTGAACGTAAGAATGTTATTACTGTAATATCATAATGTTTTTAATATTAGTTTTATTATTATAATATATCTGATAAACGAGTTCGGACATTAGTGGCAGTTATTTCATGGTGGAAGTTTATCCTTTGTATATTATGGGTGTCACATTAAATGTAAATATGTTACACGGACATGTGAGAATGCTACTTTCCTCTTCCATATATTTCGTTATTTTATTAAAATTTATTTCATATAATTATTAATATAGATAAATATTACTATTAGTAATCAATACAAATATAAAAAATTAAAATAATTTAAGTAAGATTAAGTTTTTGATTTATTTGTTCAGAATTGTCTCTACCTATCTCCTTAGTTACAAATATGTATTTCTTTTAATGCTACGAGAAGTATAAAAGGCTTAGTAATCTTTCTATGTCTCATATTTTTATTTTTACAAACCAGTTAGTTTTGATTTTGAATCAACGCATTAAAAAAAATTGCATACATGATAGGAAATTCTTTAGAAATTAGAACTATAATTTCACCTATATTATTTTTGTGTAAATAATACAAAAATATTTCATTACTAAAAATCAGAAATTAGAATACTAGAAATGAACAAAGACAAAGACCCTCTTTAAATAATAATACTTAATATTTTTCGAGTGAGTAAATATAAATATGCCATTAATATTTTTTCAAATAAAAATTCAAACTACAAATTACTGTTAATTTGTATTTATAAGCGTTTTGTATATAAATTATTCTGAAAAAATGGGAGTACTTATACAACATCTACGGGTTTTACCTATTTGTGTCTATGATTTTGTGATTTACTTTAAAAAATTCAGTGGATAAATTAAAATATATTGTTATTATTTGATACGATGAATAAATAAAACAAACGGGATTTGGTTTTTCGTTACAGTTCGTGCAAACAACAGTTACCAATTATTAGCACAAGGTATATGCGGATGAAATTTCATCATTTTTTCCTAACCTTTCGATATTTTGAGCCGCCACTAAGTTCACGAACACGTTTAGGCACATAACCACCTTAAACCATATAAAAATAGTTAATAGATTGTACAGGACTTGTGTCCTATATACTGTAGATATTGACTAGATATTATATTATTTTTATTTATTATCACAAATATGTAGTAGGTAGGCGTATAATTTATATTACATCGTGTGTGCAAGGATAATGTTTACACTACACTATTTATTATATAACGTATTACTTATCCACGAAGTATGCTATGGTAAAGTGACATGGTATTGTTTACATGATATTATATTACGATGTTATATTATGGCGTATAATAGTATTCGTATATTAGTACGCCGTATATACGCATAAATTCATAAATATAATATGTAGTAAGTAGGTAGTGTGCCGAGTACTTGGCATATTATATTGTTTTTACATAGTATAAAACATAATTTACGAATATGTTGTTATTATTGTGGCTCGCCGTGAACGTGTAGACGTATATGTATTATTGATCAGACGATCAATTTAGAAAGTCTAATATAACGTGTTATACATATATTACGTAGATACATAATATTCTGTTGATTCGATGTAACATACGTACATAATATAGTGTAACTGTTCATCATGGGCGTAACTATATAGAGGGTTGAACGTTGGACGTTAAAGTTTTAAAAAAAGTGATCAATCATCATCATCATCATTGTGTGTAGTGTGTACGCATGCTGTATTTTGACATTTTCTAAAAAACGTGTAATCCGTTCAGGATTGAGATTGTTAAATCTATACCACCCTTGTCCCTTATATATAGTTGCGCCGTTGCTGTACACGGACGTAGACTTTTATACGTGATGAAGCAGTATGCGTGTGTATGCATAATTTATAAAATATATTGGCAGATATAGGGTATTGATGATTACCTACATTTTTTTTCAAAATTATCAAAAATATATTTATTATTCAAACAAAATATTACCTAAAGGCTTAAATAAATATAATATTCAATAAAAATATGTCTATAAAAGAATGTGAAGTGTGTAACTGTATGACAACCTGCACGAGGTAAATACAATCACAATAAATATCTTCATTAATAATAATACAAATATTTTTAAAGATATAAACGTTTTCTTTGAAAAATTAAGTTTTAAAATAGATCTACAAGATGTAAAAAAATTACAAGAAATAACGTTAAAAAAAATGTGTTTAAAACTAAAAATACAAAATGAATTAATAAATATATTCTAGATTAATGAAATACACAAATCAAATATGTAGCTTGATTCGTATATGATCATAAGAAAAAAAATGCAAAAATCATCAATATCCTATCTTCATATTATGTTAGTAAAGACTAGACCTTAGCAGTTGAATGATAAATGTTATTATTATTATTATTATTATTATTATTATTATTACTACGATTGAGTCGGCAATATTGCCCTACTTTATGTTTTTATATTATAATTTATACTATCGTCTTTGTATAGAGCGTAGAAATTGTTTAAAAATGAATATAGTTGCGACGAACGTATATATACCTATTATAAACAGCACCCTGCTCTTGGTCTCCCGCTTCACCAGTACATAATTATTAATTATTTTGACATATTATATTATTTATTAATGTTTTATAATCCCATAATAATATACGTAGGTAGGTATTGTATTTAATTTTGATGTACCTATGTAATTAGTAATAATTAAAATAAACGTCAAGGGCACATGCGTGCACTCGTATGATATGTTTTATTTTGTATAATAATATTATAACGGATGCTTTTAACGCAAACTATTATGTAATTAATCACGATTAGGTATTTAAACGAAACAGATTTCGTTGACTGTGTATAAAATATTATATTATGATATATTGTATTATTATTATTATTATTATCGTTGACTAGCCTGCTTGCATTAATGAACAATATTAACGTATATTACATATACATAATATAATATATAACTATGTGCCGTAGTAAGATATGGTATTTAATGTTAATGTTGTTTAGAAATCGGAAAACCAAAATTTGTAGATGTTAAGTAGATATTTTTTCGTGCGTGGTATTTAAACAATTTGTTGGTGGTTTTGACATTATTTATATTTTTTTCATAATGACTGAACGCGCTTTCGTATTTTGTTTTCACGCACGTTTATTATTTTTTACAGTACGACGACGAGGACGACGAGGACGAATTGTTGGAGCAGCAGCAACAGCAGCAGACGCAGCGACACAATTATGCAATGCAATCAGCGGCGGCGACGACGTCGGGAGTGCCGTCTGACAACGATAGCACCGGCACGATAAGCGGGATGTTGGCTGACTTTAGCCGATCAATTGGTAAAAGCGAACATTTAATACTCATTACTGAATTTTTTTTCACTAAAATAATGTGCGCCATTGACGAGGACGTCCGTAGGCTACGGAAATACTCGCGGCGAATTGAAACACGCCATTTCGCGTTGATGCGTCGTCGTTAAACACGTAATAAATTACATCGATTTCTATTTTAACGCTTTAGATTGAATTGGGCAGCATTTTCGTCTACGAAAATGCTTTTGTGCGTCGATTATTCAGCTATTAAGTAAAAGCTTAATATCACTGTTGCGTGAGCAGGGTTTCATAACAAATGTTTTAAAATCGATAGGATTATATTTTGTTTGTTGGGTATTAAATCGAAATAACAATTTTCAAATTCACTTATCAATATAAGTTTTTTTCAATTTAAATTTAAAAATAATAAGCTTATGTCATAACGGTATTATGATTTTTATATTATCGCACAATAACAATTTAATTGTTCTGATTATCCTTTTTTTGAAGTTTAGTATCAATATAAATAGGTACCACAATTTTTACGATTTCATGAACTTGTTATTTTATTTTCAATTTTGATATTTGATCTATGATCATATTATATTGTTTTTACATTTTAAAAAATAACTAGCAATGAACCGTAATATAGACTTTTTAAATTCTGTTGAATTTTAAATTTAAATTTATTTTTTTTAAGATTACTATTTATACACTATGAATATCATTAACAAACATTTTCTATTTTAATGTTACTTTTAAATTTCATACATTTTTTATAACTATAGAATTAAAAATGTGAATTTATAAAAATTTTAATTAATTAATTATTATTAATTCTAGGAATAGTTATTTTTTCAAGCACTTTATTTATTGAGCCATACTTACATTTGGGATCATTAATTAACTCGTATTAACTTATTGATAACTGATCATTTAAATTAAAATAATTTGATAAAATATCATTTAATAGCGGCCTATTATTTTAAATAACGTTTGTACTTAATAAATACTGTATATCTTAATAAGCAGGATAAATGCTAGCTAAAATCTTAGGTATAATTAGATACATTTTAAATGTTAAATCACTACCTATCAGGTGAAAATTAGTATAGGTTTTTTTACAGTACGTAATTTAGCAAAGCAATGTAATGACTATAAATTAAAACATAATACACCATTGAATAATTATATTTAATATAACAATCCAATTGTGCTACTGTATTTAAAAAAAACTTTATATAGGTTACATATTTTTAGATCATAAACATATGAATATTCAGTCAAGTGGATTGGGTGCTACAAGACCATTGAATAGCTTTCCAGCCCCAGGTTTAACTCCACTTGATATTCTTGTTAAATCAGTAGTTTTAATTATTACATTATTTATACATATCATTATAAATAAAAAAATATATATATATAAACGAATAGTAACACAAAATATGTTATGAATTAAAACGTTGCACTTCGTTGCAGCAATGTACCGATATTGCATATACATTACGCCGTACTAAATATTAAAAAATTTAAATGTTAACATAGTTTGCATAGGGTTGAAACTATTAAAAAAAATTGTTATTCATGTTAAGCCAGTCGAAAAAAATTGTAAACCGAATTTGTATTATTAAATTGTACATATAATATGAAAATATTATATATTTATTGAAAATTATTTCACATCTATATGTGCTTTAATCAAATAATCGATGATAATACTCATATTTTAATATTATTATGAATAGAATTAAAAAAAAAAAAATTATTATATATTATAATTTGTTATCAATGATAACTTATCATCATATAAAATGAAAAGTGATTCTAAGGAGAAATTATCTAACCAATTTAATGTTATTCAATAGTAACATTAAGATATTAATGAATGTTTGTTTTATTTTTTCCTGATTATTTTAAAATGTGAGAATTTTAAATTTTGACCATCTAAAAGCACCAGTTAAATACGATTTTTTAGAAGAAATTTTCACCGAATTTGATAATCAGAGGACTTTTTCTATACAAAAAAAAAAAAAACACAGATCATTATAATACATATACATTCGTTGCTACGATCAGAACTTAAGATTGGTATATAGACCAACTGAATTCACCATACGTCAGAATGATATTTTATTTAAAAAAATAAATATTATTCATTAATTCGTCGTTTGTTATCAAAACGTACAACAATAAAGGGCAGTGCCTTTGTGCCAGCTGTAGCGTACAGAATCAAAACCCACTCGGCCCCGATTCACGAAAGTTTCAGAGATTGTTCTCAGAGATATCGTGACATATAGTTTAGAGATTAATTTGAACCACCTCGTTAGAAAATATTTATCGCGGGTCACATCAGCCGCCGGCGGATTTCCCATCACGGTAGACTTCCTTCGCAGAGCGCGATAACGATTTGCTCGTGAACTGAGGTGTACACTAATATCCGAGATAACCTAACTTTCAGCCCGGCTAAAGCGCAATATTTTTCGTTTGTTTGTTTTCCGATCGAATTCCGTCGGTTGGACGGCTAATGACGCACGATGACGTGGTGTAATCTTCGGTATCTTCGGTTTTCGACTCGTGCTAGATAATTACAAAACGCGGCGATAGTCCGTCGTATAGTGTTTTTTCTTGTAGACTAAATCGTATTAATTTTATTTTATAGCCAGCATGAACGGCAGCGGACCGACGACGACGAATCAGTTGTTTAACGGTAACGAAAAATTTGGCGAAAACAACAACAAATATGATTCTTTGCTGGCGGACGAAAACGTCCAAAAACAACAGTATCAAAAGCAGACGCAGCAGCAGCAGCAGCAGTCGAATCAGTATCAGCAGCACGGGTTTTCGACGCCTTCCGGCGGGACGACGCAATTGCGGCGCACTCAATCGATCATCAGTCAAAACTTACGCGACCAACAGTACCAGTTGTACTGTACCGGTACGTCGCCACCTCTCCAACAGCAACAGCCGGTACAACAGCAGCAGTACAACGATACGACCGCCGTCGCTCAACTGCAGCAGCAGACCACTAATAACGCTTACGGGTCACCGGCCAACAGCGGTTTGTCGTACGGAACCGGACCGACGAGCGTCGTCACGAGACAACAGGCACAGCAGCAACAAATCATCGGTTCCGCTTCGCAACTGCGACAACAACAGTACTCGGCGGCAGCCGCTGGTGGCTTAACCGCTGCCAATAGTTTGCAGTCTGAAACGAATTATTCGTCGCCGCCGCTGCCGCCGTCGCAGAGTGTCGCCGGAAACACGACCGGGCTACAACAACAACAACAACAACAACAACAATTGTACTACAACAAACGAGTGGACGGTGGCGGCGGTGCTCTGTTCAACTGCCAACAACAGACATATCAACCGCAGCAAGAAGTCTTGTATCAGCCTTATCAACCGGAATACGGCACATATCAGCAGCAACAGCAACAGCAACAGCAGAAGCAACAGAATCAGCAGCAGCAACCGCAACAAATCTCGTACAATCAACCGCAACAACAGCAACAGACACACCAACAGCAAGCGTACAATCAGCCACAACAGTCACAGCAAAACCTGCAGTATCAACAGCAACAGAATCAGCAATACCAGACGATGCAACAATATCAAAGGTTTCCGAATCAAGATCAACAGCAGTTGCCGACGACCGTTGAAGAAAATCAACATCAATATGTCAATGAGCAACAACAACAACAGAGAGTGGACAACAACTCTGTGCAGAATCCATCCGCTTTGACGCTTGGCGGGGTGTCGATTACTTCGGGTGATTTAAAATACGATACGACGATGGCGGAACTTAGTTCCACTGGGTTTAGACCGTTGCAACTGCAACAGGGCCAAGTGAGTGACTACAGTGAAATAATCGTAAATTTGTGATTATCTCGATTAAGGTCGTCCTATGATAGTATTACACACTTCTTTTTAGCAAAAATCATGTCTTTATAAAAACAAAAAAAAAAAAAAAAAATTAAAAATATATATCTGTTGGTACGTTATTCGAGTTATTGTCATAGAAAAATAAATATTATAATAATGTTGTATATATTATGAGAGTGTTTTTTTTTCTCCAGCTGTTATAGTGTCCTAGAACACAGATAAAATCTATATCTTACGAGTTCAGTAATTTATATTCATATAATTTATCTAAAAAAATATGTTTTTAACAACGTCGTTGTAAATAATAGAATGTGTTAATATTATAATAGGTAATTAATTAGTACCTTAATTGAAATAGCAGACACACAGTCATACAATACACGCGACTAAGTTATCATAATTACGTGTTAATTATTTTTACCAATATTTACATTACAATTGACCATCATTTTTGTTATAGCGTTGTGACAATCCAACAAATATTGCATTGCAGCAGCAACAACACTATATCAATGGAAATAATTACCAGCAACAGCAGCAACCTCAACAGCAACAACAAACACAAAACCAGCAACAGCAACAGCAACAACAACAGCAGCAGCAGCTGAACAATATTTCAGTCCCAGCCAGTGGTACTGGTACGGGCAGAGCAACGGTACCACTCAATTCTTCTTCAGCTACTGTGGACCAGCAGCAGACCGGTGCTAAAGCTATGACTGGATTGACGGGGCTTAAATATCAACCGACCACACAGCAACAAACCCTGTCACAGACATCGACTTTGCACCGTAAGTTGCACCGACTGTTGTTTGAATTGTTAACCCTGATGTTAAAAAAACTTTTAACCTATCTTTACCAATTAGTTGTCTAAAAGTGTAAAAATTAAATCAAAGTTACTTTTAAATACTCTTATACTATAGTATACTATAATAACAAAATAAAGTATACTTAAAAGAAGAACGTATGATAGTTTTATTATTTGAAAACATTAAAAACTTTTTAAACAAAATTTGTAATAACAATATTCACTTATAATCCACTTAGTTTAAAATTTAAAGAGAGAATGAGTTTATAAGACTCATCTTTATTTATAATTTATAAGATGAGAAACAAAGTTTCATAAAATAATGAAAACAAAAAGAAAACGATAAACTAACCGTAAATAATTAACAGAAAATTAATAGAACGAAAACTTAAGAATAAAAAACTTAATTATTAACAAGCAAACATTTAATAGTATCATTCACTAGACCATACCGGAAGTATCATTCAGGAGTTTATAATTTTTTTGGTTGATAAATTAACATGATTTTACAATATTTTAAGCAATTCATAAAAATAAATCGATTCAAAATGTTTTGATAATATTTTAAAACACTTTATGATAATATGATCAATGAATATGATAATACTCATATTTTATTTATTTTATAATTATATAATTTTTGCATGCGTTTTTCAGCGACACCGCCACAACAAAATACGCCAGTCGGCACGCCTAGGGGTGCCCAGCTGATTTGTGGTGGTGGACTTGGACTCAGAGATTTAACTGCTTCGCCATCGGATACGCTCAGCGAACCGGATTCTATGCGTTCTTCTTCGTTACGGGGTAGCAACGGACGAGACAGCCGACGACGACTGCCCGATTTACCTCCACCTGACTTAGAGATAGCTGGCATACAATGGCCAGCGGCTGCAAACGCTAAGCGCCGCGAGCGTATGATGCGAGCCATGATGGATAAGTTTAAGTAAGTTAGGTGGCGTCATATAGCCGCTAATACTTGAATTATATCAGTTGTCTTTAATATGCTAAATGCTCCATATCCAATTATACCTGTTTGGGTTACTATAAGATAAAAATAAAATAATCATCTTAATCATAATACAGTTTTATATTCACCAACCGTACTCACGCTTTTTTTCTTCAATAATGCAATTATTCAAAATCTGATTTGGTATTTTTAATACTTAAATTATAGAGGGTGTATTTTTTTAAATTTTTGTGAGTTTTGTACTGCATAACACGTATTCTGTAGGAATATAAACTTCTGTATTTTAAGTAAAAATCTCTCTTTTTTACAGTAAATTATTTAAAGCACAATTTTTCTTGATATGTTGACATGTCAAAAACAAAATTCGACTGAGTAGTAGTTTTTGAGCTATTCAACTTTGTGTACTAAAGATAATAATAGATCTATGATAATGAATTTGAAAAATATGGGGCTTTAGTGATTTGAATAGGTAATTTAGTACCTAATTAATATTAATCTATCAACATAAACCTAGTAAAACATTTCTATATTTTTATAAAACTGTTTGAGGACTACTATCCTTTGTATGAACATTTTAATAATTCAAAACTACTCATTTGATTTTGAATTACATATATAATATAATAGTTAACAAAAATTTTTCAATAAATAAGGGGTTTTTATTTATAATTATAAACTATAAAGTTTGTATTCTCACAGAACACTCGTTAAGTAGTACAAAATAATCTCAATAATTTGAAAATATGGCTTTTAAATAAATTTGATCAATTCAAAAATTTGAATTTGAATAAATTCGTTATTGAAGAAAAAAATTACCGTGAACATCCTTGGTAAATTATTTGTTTAATTATGATAAACTAAAAGTCTATTATATGATGAATGATGTGACTATTTGACCAAGGTTAGATAACTAGATATTTTTTTACCAAAAAGAATAAAAATAAAGAAACCAAACTACATTTATGAAAAATTCCATTAGAAAATCACATAATATACTAGACTTATAATGAGCAAAAATTAGTCAGCCATTAAGTACTTGTAGTCGTACTCCGCCTGTAATAAGCCAGTACTAAGACAATTATTAGTGATAGCTAAATCGATCTTTTTCTCAAAATCCATTAGCTGTCCATAGTATGCAAGTATTAAGTTAACATTTAGTTACTAATATAAGTACTATAATAGAAAAATAAGTTTTAACCAACCTATGGATTATCTAATGGATTATAAATTAGTATAATATTAATTGACTTTAAAGCTATTTTAACAAAAGTATCTAAATATCTAACCAAGACATTTTAGGTATAGATTATATAATTTAAGGTAATTTATTCTTACAAGTAACAACTGTTACGTTTATTCATATTAATTTTATTTGAAAAAACATCAAATGTTAAAAAAAATATTTACTAGTCAAAGTTCTCTAAAAAAAGACAAATTTATAGTGTACTAACTGATTTCTTTTTAGTATATTAAATAAATAATTGAAATTCAGTCGCTGAATAATAAAAAATAAATGGGAAAATATATGAATCATAAAAAAAGTATTTCATAACAATGATATCAATAAAAATTTTATAACATATTTGAATTTGATTAGAAAACTATTCTTATTTTATACCATTGAATAACCAATTTATAAAAATTTATTTTTACTTTTCGTAGTACATACTTTTATAAAGCATATTTAAATATTTATAAATAAAAATATGACTTATTCAAAACTCAAAATATGAATTTTAAGTCTTATAATTATTATTAAGTAAACATTCTAAATAGGTATGTTTAAAAACAAATTATAAAATCTATATGTTTTTTTTATTTGGAATAGAATTCTTTATTATAAGAGGTACCTATACAGTTACAAAATAAAATATAAAATAATTTTTATAAATATTCGATGAAAATAAATGTTTATCATTATAAAAACTAAAACAAAATCAACGTCAAAAGTTATGAATTAAGACCACATTTTAATTTTAAGTTCCTTATTTATATAATATTTTACTCAAACAAAAATACACATTATATTTGGACTCAGTTTCGTTATAATAATATCTAAACGTCTGTGATGATTATTTTACATTTTTTTTTTTTTTAATTATATATATATGTTATATTGTGTAACTATATGTATTATATAAATCTTACTGTATCTAAAACTAAAGTAAAAACGTACCTACGCATTCTGTTCGATAAATAGGTATAAGAATAAATTGTCTAAATAAAGTAAACTGTATTAAAAATATATAAAATTCGCACTATTTGATAAAAGCGCACAGCTTTTAATTTTTATGCTAGCCATCTCATTACTTGCATTGCATATAAAAAAAAAAATCAAGACACATCAATAAATTATATCTGTAACTACACTAAAAATGTTAATAATTAGTTTCTATGTTTTTATGTATCTGAAATATTAATATTAAATTTACTTACATACAACTTAAAAGTTAGAGTATTAATTTTTAATAACTAATAAATCGATTTAAAATCATATAAATAAAATTATTCTTCTGGGTGCTCTAGAATATAACTTTTCAATTAAATAATTTGTTTTGAATTTAAACATTTAAGTTTAAAAATTAAATTTTGAATTTGAAATGGTTTTATTGTATTTATAAATAATATTTTATAAGCCATGATCAATGAAAGACTAGGAACTTTAAATGCACTTAAAATCATAAAAATATGCACTAAATAATATCAAAATATATTCTTAAATATATATTTATCTTAAACTATAGATGAAGAAAATGTATAAAAATTACATTTATTTATAGAGGTAAAGAAATAGGTATACACTATACATAGGAGATGATATAGAAGAAATAATTTTTAAAAGTTCAAGTATTTTATCATTGTTAAAATTATCTTATATTCTATAGATACAATAAACTATATTTTATACATTGACACTGGTTTTTGTTCTTTGAACTTTATTTATTTATTTTCTTCTGTATAACTAATAAAAACTGACTATGTAACAGTCAATATTAATGTATAAACAAAATATGTTTTTTTTTTTTGTACTTTAAAAATAAAAATAAAACAACCCTAGATATATACTTAAAATTAAACATTTATGTTTATATTATTTAAACTTGGTATACATAGAATTTTGATATTGTTAACTTTTTTTTTTTTTTAAATTTTAATATGCATACATTTTTTTAAAGTCAAAGAATTAAAAAAAATATATATATTCATAAGTAGTTCTTTCAACAATTAACAGTTATTGTCAGTATATTATAACAATTTTTTTTAATAAGCAAAGTTTAAATTTTAACGAAAATTGTTAAATTTTATAAATTATTTTGAAGTAAAACATTTATAAAAATGTTTATTTTACATCTCGTTTATTCTACTTTTCAATCTATATTTGATGCTAGATTCATTATAAATTACTTTCGTTGGAATAAAAAAAATAAAAGCTTTACGTCAAGCTACATGGTTTTTTGATTTTTGGTTTTACAAAGTAAAAAAGGTATTATTTATTAAATATATGTGAATTTTAATAAAATACAACAAATTGATAAGTGACATGTTTTCAATGAGCTGTTAACTGTGATACTCATATACATTATATCATACATTTTTGCACACAGGCCATTTTCTTCTTCACGCAACGTAGCGAACGTGGATGCTTTGAACAATGCCTATGGTTACGGTAGCAGCGGCAATAAATTTGCAATTAATCGACCTGGCAGTATGAGTGAAACCAATTTACTGAAGTATCGTCCTCATAAAGATGGTGGTCCGACATCTACGGTCAGACCAGAATCAGCATTGGGTCTTTTGCAAGGTGCGTTTCATATAATATTGTGATATTTTAGAACTTAAGTGTCCAAAAAAATGAATAATATATCCACTGGTGCCCAAAAAATGAAATAAGTTTACCTATGACAATGCAGCACTCTGTATTGTATTGATAGAAATACGTAAAAAAAAGTTGAACGTCGATAGTATTTAATAATTATAACGATGTGCTTATTTTATTTGTGTATACAATATAATATGGTGTAAGATTATTTTATTACATATTCCCCTATTAAAATAAAAATAAATTAAACCTTATTTATAAATAAAGACCCTATTATAATAAATGTAAAATATTACGTATTCTAATTAAAATGATAAAATATTACGTATTCTATTTAAAATGATAAAATATTACTTTATACCAGCTACAAATATTTCATATTTCATTTTTATTAAAATATGTTTTTAAACAATATTGGCAAAATGAGTTTTGAAAAAAACCGTTAGATGTTTTAAAAAGTACCTGAACTCCTTAAGTAACGTTTTAAATTTTGGTAACAATAAAAAATTATTTCATTTAGAAAACATTTAAGAAATTGTAATTAACTTTTAATTGTTTTGTCTTAATTGGCGCTTTCAACAATTGCTATTATACAGAATACATTTTAAAACAAAATTTTATATCCTTTCTAAATTTTATAGAGTTAGTTATAATTATTTAATTGATTCAAATAGAGCCGTTTAAATTGCAATTAAATTTGAAATTAATAGAATTTATTGACTAGCCTTAAAATTGTCAATAAGAAAAAAAAACATTATGACAAGTCTTATTTTGATAAAAATAAGTATTTTAAATCTGTAAAATTACTCTAAGGGACTTAAATTTTTAAAATTTTAAGTGAATTATAACACATTTAATATTATTGATAAATATAATGTTTAATTAAATTAAAACATATTAAACTATTATACTATAATACTACATATTTGAGGTAGCTTGATATTATATCCATTGTTTTTAAAAAAGCGATACTAAGTCTATAACTGATAGATTTTTATAGACACTAATTTCTATAACCTTGAAATTAATGTCTTGTATTAATATATAATATGATTTAATATAATAGTGAAATTATTTGTTATGCATATAAAATCTAATTTAAAAAATAAGTAACTAAATATAACCTGAGCTATAGTTAAAACAATTCTGTTTTAATATTAATTAGTTAATAATAATAATAAACTATAAATAAAAAAGGATATAGGTAAACAAAGTAGTGTTCGTCATATTCATTTATTAAATATAATATTAAAAATTTAATTTTTTAAAGAATAAAACGCTTAAATATTATAATATATAAATATAAATAACTTAACGGAGTATCCACTTTTAATAGAAATGTGTTATTAAGTTTGGAAATGAATTGCAAAATAAATAAATGCTATAAAATACGATTTTTATAAACATTAAAAAAAAAAATGGAAAATTTGTTTATAAGTTTTACATTTCTTAAACGAGTTGAATAAAAACTAATTTGTAGAATTAGTTATTTCAGTTTTAAAATTTAGATATTTTAGTATAAGTGATTAAAAATTACTGTTTTTATTTAATTTTATGGCGATAAAACGACAAAATTAGACTATTGCTTTATTTTGCATTTTTCTTATCTTCATTATATAATATTGTAACAATAATTGTTAGAAAAATTGAATGAGTTTATAAAAACTAAGAAATATAAACCAATGTTTAATAGAAATTAAACAATTTTATCGCGAATTTGTTAAATTTACTTATAAAATACTTAAAAAATTTATTACATAAAATTGAAATAAAAAAAAAAAAAAAAAAAAAATTAATTACCATCACATTTAATTTATCTACAGAATTTTATATTATCAGTTAGTATCAAGAATTTGTAATGTTTTAGTTTATTTGAAATATAATTTATAAAAAAAAAAATATATAATCAATAGAGAAGATAACCAAATACCTTGTGAGGAACGACAGATAAAACATACTTAATTATTAAAATTCGTTAAAAAATTTGAAACTAAAATAATGTAGATCATAGATTCAATTTTTGTGTATGTGTATCTTCATTAAAATTATCTAATATTGATATTTTTAATAACATATTAATTAGTAATTGTAGAGCATCCACTATATGGACCGTGATGTTTATTGTTTAATTTTTATTTAACAAAGAAATACAATTTCTTGTTTAAAAAATTTAGAAAAATATGTTGGTATTATTTAATAGGTTTATATATTTCTTTTATGTGTAGGATAGATAAACAATGTATTTCATTCACAGGGAAACAAATTAGTTTTTAAAAATATGTCGAATACAAAATCTAAAACCAACGTTAAACCAAAATCACGTATAAAAATAAAAATATAAAGATTCTGTGGGTTCTAGGTAAAGTTTTTAATATCGGGAAATCTAAAATTTCTTGATCTACCAACGACCGAAAAAAATATTTTAAAATTTTTACAATATTGTCATTAGTCATTAACAATGTTTACTTCCTTATTTATAAAAGATATAGAGCAATATATAATGATTAAATTAGGAGCTTAATTTTATTTTCCTGTATTTACAAATTTTTAAAAATATTTACGACATGTCGTTACAGATTGTATGACATATTGTAAGTATACACATGACCGACTTATTTTATGGAAATTGAATAATAATCTGTTAAAAGTATACTCGATACATATATACTATATATATGAATGATTTTAATCAAGCACTGATATTAATTTCCTGTGTTGGCTTTAATTAATTGTTCGTCGTCAAGGCGACAGCAGGAATTGTTACGAGTTCAGGGAAAAACCATTATTGTGTTAGTATATTCGTTCAAAAGTCGGTCGTGGTATCTGTATCAGGTCTGGGGTGGCAAACCCACGTCGAGTTAAGCCCGATTCCTACCACTACTATCCACTCACCCAACGCACATCACGAGGTGAGCCACGTGACTGTAACGGATATGCATTGTAATAATATCATTTATTATTATATGACGTGATGAAGAATAAGCTTATATAATATATATATATATATGGTGTAATCCATTTAACTTAAGACACTCATTATTTAAAAAAAAAAAACACTAACGTTTTTTAATTTATTTTATAAACACAATTTTAAGCCGTTTTAAAACAAAATTTTTGAAAAAATACTATATTCTTCTATTGTTGTATTTATCGTTATAATTTTTAAGTTTTTTTTATTACTATTTTAAATTCCAATAGTAAACGTTTTCAATGTAATATTCCCGTTTAGATTTCGGACGATAAATAGTTTATTGGTTATTAAAGCGTAAAACGGTCAAAGTGTAAAGCATCGGAGAACTTCAAAAAAAAAAATAAAATAAAATAAAATAAAATAAAAATTACTGTGCTTTAGAATGAAAAATTAAAAATACACATTGCCGTTAAAAAAGTCTGAAACCACAAATAGTAGATATGTTGTTTTTCAACGTGTACTTCGTTGATTACGTATTGCTCCTACACATATGGTTTTATTAGCTGTCGCATTAAAATACGAATTGACACAGTGGAAGGATTTATATGACAACATTATGTTTCGCTATGCGTGTTTCAACTTGTTTTCTAGCAACAATTTAATAGTAGTAGAAAATGATAAAATAACATCGCTAAAACAATAATTGTACTACCACAATGATAACAAAATCGAGTTTAAAAAGAAAGATGACTCAAGAGTTTGTATGTTATATTATCATTTGTAAACGACAATGTGTTTATTGTAATACCGTATAACGTAAATATAGGTATTGCCATTATGCATCATTGTTGTATTATCTGTTACGTAAATGCTTCGTCATGCCTACCATTTTAATTGATAGTTTTCTTCGAGTTATTCAGTAATTTTATTCAATTGATATTTCAACTCCAATTGAAAAGTTGCATGCATAAAGTCGTAAGTGTTAAAATTGTTTGAGGTTTCTTAAAAATATTTTCTCCAAATTTAAATCTACCGCTCTTCAAAAAGCAATGGGTATAATAATATATTTGTGCATTGCTATTATTTGGAATGCGGTGTTATAATAAGGAATCTATCGATGTCGCGTGCGATAGCATACTGCAGTGCGTAACATGATTTTTAATACATCTCAGATCTATAATTAGTTAGGAACATTTTAAGTACAAGTTTTGAAAATTCTACATTTCGAATTTCCAGCGTGCGTGCTATTACGCTATATATGTTTATATACGACAAACTATTGCCATAATAAAATGCGACCAATGACACCACTTCTAAAAACCAATATTTTTGATCGAATCGCTGTGTACTCTGTCTATTGTTAGCTATTATTATTGTCTATAAGTAATATTATTTCGTTCGTTCATCTACTAAGCGCGTATTACGCGTTCTACGTGTCTTAAGATATACATGTGTCATTCACAACAGGCTCGTCCCGCAATTTATGTTAACGATTATTAATACCGTTACCGACGACATATACATAGACTGCACCTGGCAGTATATATATATATTATACTCTTACCGCGGTCGAATACTGTCCCTATTTTACCGTTGTATGCGTTCCATCACGTTTATGTTTTATTCGACGTTGGTCGTGCACGTTTCATCATCGGTTGCGTTGCGTTTGCGCAGGTTCACTGGTAGCAGCAACGGAGAGCAGACGCCGTCGATGGCCAGGCAATACGGCGGTCTGACGCGGAAATACGGGTCGGACGGCGGCGACGAACTGGCCGCCTGTCTGCCACCAGACCTGCGGCATCTGTTGTCGGCCACTACGACGACCACGCCGCAATCGCATCACCGGCAGACGACGGCGCAGGCGGCTCAGCAGCATGGACCTCCAGAGACACCGCCGCGACTGGCCGCGGCCAATTCATGATTAAGTCTTCCGCGGAGGAGCTGTTATGACCGCAGACTGCCTGCAGTCGCGGTACGGCAGTCGCAATCTTGTTTTCAAAGCATTTTTGTGAGGTAAATATAGATTGCGCTGTGCAGAGATAGACTCGTTATAACCCGCAAGCATCGTCTAAATAATAATATAAGGACGATTCTTTGATACACTCTTGCATACCGCATTTAACCGTCGACGTTGACGGATAATGATGGATCCACAGTACAAAACAACCATAATATAATAAGGGTAAATAACGTAAAAATCAAATCGTGTGATCCGAGGGTTATAAACAATGCTGTATTAGAATCGATTGACACCTCAAAAATATTTATACCGTACACGTTATGAAATAAAGAATGAAAATATCGACACGGAATAAAAATAAAAACATACCTAGATAAATATTATGTCAGACGACAA